TTTTCTCGAAGTCAGGCTACTCTGCTCCTACTGATTCATGGTTGCTTTCTTCCTCTAAAAGTCCATCAAAAGCCTCACTAGTTACTGAATCTTTCTTGTCTCTAAACAGAATAGGACATCACAAACCCACAACCACTTCCTGGCTGAACCCTAAGACTTGACAGGTGCAAGTAAACCATGCAAAGCTCCTTCCACTGCCCACCCCACCGGCCAGCCAGGGACAACACAAGGTGGGCAAGCCAGCCAACCGGGGCTGTGGAGGAAAAGGACAGATGCAGCAGTGGGTCGGTGCTTGCTGAGGGGTCAGACGTGAGAGAGCGTGAGCGGTCCAGCACTACTGCAGGGTATTATGTCTACTAACATCTTGACTGTGGGGTTGACGGCCAGGCAGATAAAAGGTAAGCAACTTCTATTAACGACGTTTCACTTGCGTATCCTCTAAAATTAGTAACTCACTGGGTTCAAGTAAATCAAATACAGCTCTTCACTAGGAAAAGACTGGGATTTCTTGTGACACATGACAGTGAAGACCAGAGATACAGACTGGTAGTGTCCTGCCTGCATACGGGCCACAGATACATTTTATTTACCCCACACAATATTTTTAAAAGTTTTGAATTGTATTGCCAATGCTTTGACATCTGGAGATACTACATTCAAAACTTAAAGAATTCCGTATTTTCATAGGAGAAAAACTATAGATCTGGCCATACTAGGTCTCCATTTCTGCATGACAACAACACACAGGTCCTGAGAGGCTGCCTCCTTTAGCTGGCCCCTGCTCCTGGGGTCCTTGACCACCACTCACACAAGACATGCATACGGCTAATAGCCACCCTGGTGGGTTTGTGTACCTCGTCCCTGTGGCATTAGTGTTTGCACGATCTGCTCTGTGGGATACTATACATGTGCTTTCAACAGTTAAAAGGGCCTCGTCTGCCATATGCATTTGATCTTAGCCAAAAGGCCGAGAAGTGATCACCTGTCATCTGCATCAGCCTCCTTAATCATGTTCCTCCTCTCTTTCTACTACAAGTCACTATAGCTAATTATATCCGCTCTGCAAAGAAAAAGTACATACATTTACTCTTCTGAATTTCTTTTACTTTTTAAAAACACCTTTATTGTGGCATGATTCCTGTACAGTAAACTTTCTCTTACTTTTAATAATATCCTGTATCAGTGGATCAGAATCACCTAGAAGGTTTGTTAAAACAGTATTAAAGGAGAAACGGGGGGGGCTTTGTAACATTGGTGAAACTACAGAGATTCAACATACTTAGCAGGAAAAACAACAAATCGTCAAGCTCATTCCTTTTTACCTTTTATACTCCTGGGAATCACAGTCACCCAGTCAGGCCCACTGGAGTTGATTGGCATTTTGATATTGACACCACTTTAAAAGGAAGAAAGAGTACAAAGTTTAGATTCAGGAACATTTATTTCCCAATATGTATTTTTATTTCTAAATTTTTAATGGACATGATTTCATAGAGCTTTATTAAGAAGAAATATTCTTATAAATGTTAATCAATACACTTGACAATTAACAAACTAGTTATAATAAGCATGTCATATGGATATATAAACTGAATAAGAATTACATAGATTCTTAATTTTTCTCTGCTTCACCCTTAGAGTTGCAAACTCCAAAATGACAAATTCTGTTCAAATTACTTACTTCCCCTTGACTCAGAGAACGGCTTGCCTGATGAGAATATCTATTTCATCATTACTTAGTTTTCAGGCTGCAAGCCTATGGAGCAGTAAGTCGTGGGTCAGAGCAGTAAGCGGCAAAGCCGCTTAGGCCTTGCCCAGAGTGGAGATGAGTCCTAACTGGGAACACCTGTCCCCAGGTACATGCTCATGCAGCACTCGTTACTATGGCTCTGTAGGGTCTGTCCCCCCTGCTAAAACATGTCCTCCTCAAAGACACGGATTGTGTCTCACTCGCCTTTTGTCTTCAGCACTCAGCACAGGCCCTGGACTAGAGTCCATGTTCAGGAAATATTTGATGGAGAAAAAGTGGAGGAGAATGGAGTCCGGGAGAAGTGTACTGAAAACTCTGTGTAACTATTCCAGAAACTGGCTCACAATAATTACGCCTCTTGCACTTAGACCAAAAACAAACAAACAAATAAAATGCTAACTTTCCAAATCTGATATGGGAACGTGCAGTTGTAGTATTTCATTTTATCGAAAGTCCATTCAAAACAGATTTGCTCTTAAATAATTCTTAAGCTTCTACTGTGTGCCAGGCACTACCCTAGATACCAAGGATGTAAAAGTAAACAAAACACACTGCATCTCCTCCTTCGTGGCACTGGCATTCAAATGAGGGAGGGAGACAAAAAATCAGGAAGGAAGGAATTACAGGATGCTATATCAGAGAATAAGAGAATTTCACAGATATATAATGGTGACATTTAATAGACAACATGACTCTAGAGAGCACACATAAACTGCTCTCATGAATTTAGAGTTTTAAAAAGAAAACTTCACATCTCTGTAATTTTCCTGTAAAAATGTTTAATCTCAATCTAATCATGCAGAAACAATAAAGCAGAAAATCCAAATTAAGATACATTCAACAAAAACAGTGACATCAACATTGTCAATGTTGTAAAAATGCAAAACAAGCTAGAAAATTCTTCTGGATTAAAGGAGATTAAAGAGACAATTAAATAGACTGTGTGATCATAGATTTGGTTAGTTAAAATAAAAGAGCTAGCTATAGAGGATATTCCTGGGACAACTGGAGAAACCTGAATATCGACTGCATATTAAATAATAACATTGTATCAATGATAAATGTCCCAAGTGTGATCACTGTGCTATGGTTGTATGTTGGAGAAAGTCTATGTTCCTAGGAGGTGCCTAGTCATGGGGTGCAGTGCCAGGATGTCTGAAACTCACTCTCAAATGGCCTGAGGGGGAAAAATTATACACAGACACACACATATAAACACACATACAGAAAGAAAGAAAGCAAGTGTGGCAAAACATTAACGATGGTGACTCTAGGTTAAAGGTATATGGGTGCTTAACTTTCGTTATTCCTGCAGTGTTTCTACAGATTTGAAGGGGTTTTTTTTAATACAAAGTTAGAAAGGGAAAAAAAAGTACAAATCACACTGAAATAAAAGGGAAGCTTTTAATGTGATAAGCTTATTCTTTCAAAAGGTTCTCTTATGGGATCTTTTAAGCAAAATACTGTTGTTCTTTCCAAAACCAACACTTTTTTTCCCTTATGAGTAAAGAACAAAGATGAGATCACTTTAATTATCCAACTGTCATTTGGGAACCAAAGCCCAAAGCTAAGCTTCTTAATCCTTTCTGAATTAAGCAACATTATGAGCCACCAAGGAAGAGCAGTGAAAATCAGTACCAGCTTAAAAATTCAGGCCATGAGCTCAAAATAGTACACTCAAAGACCCCTCAAATGATCTATTTCGATCTTTCCCTTATTCTTTTCAGTTAGCCTAATGCAAAATTTCAGATTTTTAACAGAGTAAACAATGCAAAAAATAAAATCAGTATCAGGATTCTGTCAAATATTATGCCACCTCAATCACTTCTCCCAGCAAACTTCCAGGTAAGGAGAGTTTTTAATGACTCTACTACAAGGTATCAACAGCCAGCCTCATCCCCCACATACAAGTAAAGGCACGGGCAGACACTGCTTTATCCTTCGGGAGTCACGGGCGTTTTTTTGGTTTTAATGGTGCCATTTAGTGTTACATTTTACACTAACTGAATCCTCTAACCTTTTCCCCACTGTTTTCCACGTGGAATTTCAGTAACTTGCGAGCTCTACTTCCTCCTCTTCACTAAGCCACTAAATGGACTGACAACACAACTCTAAAAGGGTGAAACTGCCTCATACAGAGGCAGAAAGTACACAGAAATGAAGCAATCTGCTCACAGTCATCGATAAATAGCGTGTCTAAGATCGGAACCCGAGAATAAATAAAACTAGAGCCCTCCTGCACTGAGCCATGCAAAAAGCTAGGCGGCTCTCTCACGGAACAGTGCAGCAGCGCACTGGGAGTAGTGCTCCCTCTGCTGGCCTTCTCAGAGCACACATGAGCCCATCACATACGTACTTCAACTGGACAGAAAGCTGACTACCGGAAAAGCAAAAAAATCAGTGTTTTATTTAGAAGCTCCTATAGACCACACATCTTACATAGGAACTTTTCTCCCACCAAGGAATGAGTGGACATAGAATAAAAAAATTTAGGGTGCCCAGATATATGCAACAAAAATCCCTCTCTACCAGGGAATGTATAAAAAGCATGTATTTCATTTCAAAATAAAAAACATGTTACGTTCTTTCAAATAATTGTATTTTTGACTATGTAATTTTTCTAACTTTTTATTTCTTAGGAATGTTATTTTATTTCAGAACCATGTAGAATGTTGAAGAAAATGGAAATTTTAATTCATACTGATTCTATACACTTCCTTCTGGACATTATTCCATATATTGATCATTATGAGGGAAAAGTTTTACATTTATCTTCAAAAAAACAGGAGTATGTACACAAGTCTGGAATAATTTCAACAGCTGTTAACTTAAAAAATACAGTTTGCTGTGGTATCCCTGGCTTCCCACGTTTATCACTAAATCCACTCAGCAACGCTACCACATTCACAGTCTTTTTCCTATCCGTAAATGTTCATATGATTTTAACAACAGGTAACATGTACATCACTGGAGATTTTTTAAGTTTATGAGACATGAAGATAAAACACCGGCCTGACTATCAGACCTCTCTCTGCCCTATTCTTAGGTGTTTTTTTTTATCTGCTTTGTGAATAAGCAATGTTGCTTACACAGATATAGACATGCTATGCAGTTCCAAAGTGAAAGACAACGAAAGTAAAAGAACAAAAACTTAAGGTCTTTAATTTGAACTGAAATAAGCACACTAATCACAAATGTAAATCTTCAATTATTTTCTTACTCACCACCTCTCCTGAATTGGGCCAAGTTCAGAGAGATATAAGCAGCACATAACCAAAACACTAAAGTCTCCTACACGGGACAAGGACAATGGAAGGGGACTCTTAAATCACCCCCTAGAGCAAGGAGCACATACCTCTGGAAGAAAGCAGTTTCTGCAGCCGTTAGAAGGCCCTTCAGGTATCCGCCTTTGAAATGGTTAATTCTGCTACTGCATGGGAGCTTCTTTGGTTTGAAGCAGAACCAGGGCTCCCCAGTGTAGAGATCTGTAAAGTTGCACAGGGGAAGACCCCCAGGAAGACACACGTTGCACTCAGTAGTCTCAGAAATTCTCCCTGAACGGAAGAGACTCTTGAAATACACCCTATCTGGTTTCCCTTCCTGTAGGTGCTGAAGAACTCTGATCCCTTCGCTGGGGTGGACCAGAGATATGGCCACTTTAACTTTGCCTGGCCAGAGCAGAGTGAAAAAGACCTTGTAAAACCCATTCTGGTAGTCTACCACTCTGCCCACGGCCCCCGCCTGCAGCTTAGGAGAGTGGATTCTGGCCTGCAGGTAGTCTCCACCATACTTCTTGGGCTTTCTTTGAAAATCCTGTACATGAACCAGAACCTCTAGCTGGCTTCCCACCTTGAAGAGGGCTGCAGAGTTCAAGATGACGAAGTAGCTGGAAGAAGGGTCAGTGCTCTTCAAAAAGGGGACTGGGCCCACGTCAGGCACCTGCCACTGGAAGGCAGCCAGCAAGGAGTCCTCCTCCAGGCGCTCCTGGCTGGACAGAGTCTGGTGCTCATAGCCGCAGTACGGATTCCGGCTAACTCCTGTCACCTGGGAGGAAACAAAGTGTCCACTACTGTCGATGAACGTGGCTGAAGCAGTCTCATGGTCCAAGTACTGAAGAGAAAGACACAAACAGCAGAAACCACAGCTATAATGAGTCTCCTTATATTCAACCAAATAAATCTCTACTGCATTTTAAATTTTAATAAACCTTACTTGGGACAACATTATTTCAAAACCACAGCTCACTATGTTTACAGGTTCCCACAGTAAATATCAGAGAAAAATTCCCTTGGTGCTTCCAGAAAGAGAAGGGGAAAAGGACTCATTTTGAAATACAGTCGTCCCCTGTTATCCACAGGAGGTATGTTCCAAGACCCCCAGTGGATGCCTGAAACTGTGGGTAGTAACAAGCCCTATATATCCTGCTTTTTCCTACACATATATACCTATGATAAATTTTAATTTATAAGTTAGACATACGAGATTAACAACAAAAACTACTAATAAAATAGAACAATTACAGCAATATGCTGTAATAGAAGTTAGGTGAATGTTGTCTCCCTGTCTCAAAATATCTTATTGTGGTGTACTTGTCCTTCTCGAGATGCTGAGATGATAAAACGCCTACGTGATGAGATGAAGTGAGATGAATGACGCGGGCACTGTGACATGGTGTCAGGCTGCTACTGACCTTCTGACCACACGCCAGAAGGAGGATCATCTGCTTCAGGTGATCCTGGGCTGAGCCATGATGATGTCGAGGGCTGAGGGTCCTGGGTGGGACAGAGCAGGATGGCATGAGATTTCATCATGCTACCCAGAACAATGCACAACTCCAAACTGGTGAGTTGTTTATTTCTGGAATTTTCCGCTTAATATTTTCAGACCATGATTAACCACAGGTAACTACAACCACAGAAAGTGAAACTGCGGATGGGAAGACTACTGTATATCAGAGTATTCTGTTCTTCTTGACAAGGTCTGCCCTCAAGAAAAACTATGTATTTTACCAGAGCCTAATCTCTTGGGGTTTTATCAGAGCCTAACCAAACTAGGGTAAGGGACAAACTCAGCTCCGGCCCATGCTAACCATTCCACCCAACTGAAGGACTGAAGGTAGGGCTAAGAAGCAATTTTGAAGTTCTAGGCCCACTAAAGGACTGAGAAACCTAAGGCTGCAAAGCACTTCGCCTCCCTCACACCTCACCACCACACCACCGCGAGCCAATTTACTGGAGTTCATTTTACCCAGTACATCACAGCCAGCTTTCAATAAAAAATTACAAGATATACTAAAACATAGTTTGAAAACATAGATCAAATATCAGAACCAGACTCAGATATGGCAAGGCTGTAAGAATAATCAGACTGGGAATTTAAAACAACTGTGATTTAAGACAACATGCAAGAACAAATGGGCAATGTAAAGACAGAGATAAAAATTCCAAGAAAGAATCAATAAGAACTGTCAGGCAGAGCAGAGAGGATTTTTAAGGAAGGGAAAATACTCTGTATGGTATTATAACGACTGGCAGATATCCTTGTACATTTGTCCAAACCCACGGAATGCACAACACCAAGAGTGAATCCTAAAGTAAATATGGACCTTGGGTGATCATGATGTGTCAATGGAGGGTCATCCTTGGTAAAAAATGTACCATTCTGGTGAGTGATGACAGTAACGGGGAGGCCATGCATGTGTAGAGGCAGGGAGCATATGGTGAGTCCTTGCGATCCTCCTGCAGTGAAAGCCCCATCAGTTGGCTTTTCTTTTCTGTAAGGCAAGTGCCTGACTTTCGCTGCCAAGACACCCACACGACTAGGTAAAGAGCCAGGCTCTCCCCTTGCCTCCAAGGCTTCTTTGATTTAGAGATCTTGCCTGACCTAAGTGATCATTTGGGCTGCTTGTTTTTCTCTTCCCATGCTTTAAGCTCCCACTCCTATGTTTTAAATTCACCAGTAAAGAGTAAATCCATGAAACCCGAGACCCCCTCCCTTCACCCCAATAAAAGCAGAACCCCGGGCCCATGCTCTCTTTTTCTCTACCCATAACCTTGCTAGGTGGCTTCAGGCTTGCCATTACCCGCCAGGACCGATGAGTAACAAACCCTGATCTTTTTTTCAGAGTTTCCTGATGGTTATGCTGAGGACATCTTGCAATCATAATAAGAACCACAAAAGTGGGGGAGGGTATAGCTCAAGTGGTAGAGTGTATGCTTAGTATGCATGAGGTCCTACGTTCAATCCCCAGTACTTCCTCCAAGAACAAATAAATAAGTAAACTTAATTATACCTCCCAACCAAACAAACAAAAAAACCACAAGGGCTGGTCCAGCCACAACATTGGTTATTGACAGGCTGAGACAGACACAGAACACTTCCTCTCAATTTTGTTGTAAAC